TGAACTAATATGCTAAGAATTCACCTGTAATACACATTACCTCCGATATTGGGGATTCCTCATATAAAACCTTAACTTCACTAATACTAATCAAAAATTTCTTATATTATACTGCTATCAGAAGAGTATTTGAAGAGACTAGAATAGTTTCTTGATAAATAGAAAAGTTATGTTTTCAATATGTTAATGTTAGGTAACCAAAAACTCTCCTAAAGAATCTTACACTTTGTAATCTTTTTTCTTTGATTATATATACTAAAAAAGAAAAGAAGAAGTAGAGAAGAATTATTGCTTGTTATCCAATAAGTTCTAATTCGGATTTCTTTATTTTTTCTGTATAGCCAATAATATTATAGATTTTATATCTTATATCTATCTGTATGACTGATTTGTAACTTATGATGTACCCCAAGTTCTTATAGATACTGAAAAAATATATTCAGATATGTGAGGTGATCAATAGAAACTTGTTTATATCTTAAGTTACTGACATGTTTTTATTAATCAATCACTGTACCAGAAACTTTGTGCTACTCAAAATTCAAGATCAAACTGAAATAAGTAAAATCCCTCAGAGAAAACTGTGAAAAGTATTCTTGGAGTCTCTACTATGACAAGAGAGTAGTGGAATTGTCTTCTAAAGAGTCTTTCATCACAAACTAGACTCTGTAGTATTTCTATAGCAGGTGAAGGGGGATGAAGAAGTCAGGTTTACTTCTTTTTAGAACTTTCTTACCATTGGTAAAAAGGATAAAAGTTGTCTTTTTGATTATTAGAAACAAGTTTTTTGTAGTAAAATATAAAAAGAGGTAATGGAAATTGTAAAGTAACTTTTTAAAATCTTATTCTCAAGTTGGTTTAAAGAAAATGATAAGATTTTATTAACCTTGAAGTATAAAACTTCTTGTGAATGTCTTTTTTGTATATAGTTAAAGGATCAGTAGAAGGAGTTTTTGATGCAGTTAAATAAAATATATTTATAATAAAAAATAATATTATTAAAAAATATAATTAAGATATATTTTGATATCTATTTTCATTTTAAAATATTTAAAAAACTTAATTAAATAAAGTTAAAATCTTTTTACCTTTATTATTTTATTTAAATAAGTTTTTAATCAAATAAACTTTTTTATAATATAGTATTGATATAAAAATATAAAAAATAAGATAATATATTAAATTCTTTAAATATTTTAAAAAAATTTTTTTTTTAAATTTACAGTAAATATATTAAACTTAAAGTAATTAATTTAAACTAACTTTTTTTTAACTTGAATTAATTCAGTAAACTTTCTTATATTTTTTTAATAATTAAAATTTTCAAACAATAATATATAATCTGCTTTTTATTTTTTATTATTAATTTTTTTTTACTAATTGAAGTAATAGATCCAAAGAGTTTATGCGGCAATTTATAGTATTTATAATATAAAAATTTTTAAAAATATATTATAAATTTACTAATAAAATTATATTAAAGCTTGTATCAAATTGTTTGAATTATTGTTCATTTGATTTTATTTATTCCATTCCTTAATATAAAATACTTAAAAGATCTAATATTTTGGTAATACCGTGATTTTTTTAAAGCGCCTGATGACTATAGTGTTTTCAATGAATTATGATATAGAAGGTATTACACATTTTTTTGAAGTTTGCATTACTATTAAAGACAGTACAATGAAGCATTTTTATTGTCCAAATTGTACTTTGTGAAATACTGTATATCACCTAGCGTCTGTACTTTAGGAAATAGATTGCCTGTGCAGTGTTAATTTATGATTGAAACTATATCTGGCTATTCTGGTCATCGTCATACTTGAATAATTATGTGCGATAATGCAAAATAGGACTTTTAGGTATTTTAAAGATAGCATTCGTATTTTTCGGCAATTCTGGAAAACAAGAAAATTGTAAGAGCAAGAACAAGGATGAGACACCGAAACGTTAGTTCACCTGTTAGCACGCTTAATTGATTCCTCCAATTCACGAATCTTGGTTTTATTGGATTTGATCTTCTTCAACAACTGCTTTCGCAGCTCTCTAAATACAATTAGGAGGTTTAGATCGTTAAAAGTAGCGTGATATTGGAAATTCTACTAATCTACCGGTTGTCTTTGAAATCTTGGTGATTAGGTGAGGAAAGCTCATGATCCATAAACTCCCGTTCCGAGGCAAAAGTGGAAGCAAAAGGAGGATCTTGAATGATTTCATTGTCAATCGTTGCAGATGATGGTGGTAAAAATGTTTGAGGATGCTCGATTGATTGAAAATCTAGAAATTAAAGGTAAATATACCGACACTGCATCGTGAATCTTAATTTAAAGTTTACTTACGTTCCAGTTCGAATAATTTCTTAAGCGATGATTCCGAAAAGGTTTTCTCAATGATACCTTGCACTAGGTATAAAATAATGATTGTTGCACACACTCGAAATAAAAAGCAGAGAAGATGCTTACGTTCAATTAATTTTCCCTCCAAGCTTTCAAGTTTCTCTCGCCTTCTCTGGACATTATTCGCGGTATCATTTAAAGTTTCATTATTTTCATCAGGTGTGTGGTTATTATTATTTTCGCCCTTCTCGAGGGTATCTTTATTTGCCTGTTGAATTTTTTTGAGAGTTTTTTTAATCCATCTTAGTAATTCTTCTTGCGAGTCTTCAACTCGCGTTTCACATATTTCTCTGATCAGTGGAAACAATGGAGGTAATTATCGAATCAGTCATCAATTGCGAAATGAGTGAACGATCTTAATATCATTGTGGATTTCTTTTTTTCTTTTCTTTTCTTTTTACCTCAGCTTCTTACAAGAATTTGATGTTTCAGTAATTTTGCTATTTGCCCCACAAACGCCTTGGTTTAGGTTTTTGAGGTGGTCGTTTAGGCTACACTTGAAGATTTCGTTTTCGCGTAAGAGAAACTCGAGTTCGGGTTCGGTGGAAGTATTGCTATTTTTTTTTTTTGTAAAAGTCGATAAAGATCGGATGCGTTTAAATAGAAAGCTTAAAAATAATTCAATGAGTCGATTCATTTACTTTGATCTTGTCATGAAAGCGAAAGAGCAGGTGAACGAAAGTCTAGTGTAGTTCTTGTTAATAACCTTCATGCCACCAGCATAGGGTTTTCAGTATGCGCATTCGTGAAGTTAATTTCACACACCGATTATCTGATTCCGTTTCTATTCTTTAAACTTTTTATTCGTTTTTTATATTGTGGTTTAAACTAAATTTTAAAAACTTATTCGCGAGTTATCACAAAAGTTGTTGATCAAGTTTTTCAAAGTGTAACAATAATTGATCGATTGTCATGTTGCCTAGAATTTCACCGTCTCTTTGACGAACATTGACTGTCCGTGAGTCTCTTTCTTTTTCTCCGACGACCAAGATGAAACTATATTGCGCCAATTGCGCGGTTTTAATCATTTTGTTTAACGATTTCGACGAAAGGTCGATATCGACAAAATGCCGATATCCCTGTTTAAAGATCCTAACACCATCGTTATCTGTACCTTTACCATTTTTAAAAGATTCTTTGGGACTCGTTGTAGGGTGTTCGGTTCCCGTTATCAGCGATTGTCGCACTTTTTGCGCATAATCAAAAAATTTTGGACCCCCAACCGGAATGACAATGGCCTGTCTAGGGTTTAACCAAAATGGCCACCTTCCGCCTGTATGTTCAATAAGAATTGCCATCATGCGTTCGACGGATCCTAAAATAGCACGGTGTATCATCACAGGAGTTTGTTCTGCACCATTTCTATCAACGTACTTTAGTCCAAATCTTTGGGGAAGTTGGAAATCCAATTGAATGGTCGCCGTTTGATGCATCCGATGAAGAGCGTCTTCAACCATAACATCTATCTTTGGTCCATAGAAGGCAGCATCTCCCGGGTTAACCGTCCAACTTTTTCCTACTGTATTCAAGGCCTTTTTCAGTGCATCCTCAGCTGCATCCCACTCGGAAATCTCACCAATGTATTTACTGTCAGATCTGGTGGATAATAGTAATTGGTAATGTGGAAATTTAAAATCACGATATACACAGTCAATGAAAGTTAGTGAAGCCAAAATCTCGTCAAAGATCTGCGATTTCTCACAAAAAATGTGTGCATCATCTTGATGGAATTGGCGAACTCTGGTAAGGCCTGATAAAGCACCCGAGGTTTCATTTCTATATCAATTCACTGTCTATTAGTAATAAGATCACCATCAAGTGAAATCAACACGTCGACATGTATAAATACGGAGGAGGTACCTGTGTAATGATCCAAAATCTGCAATCCTTACCGGTAGGTCGCGGTATGATTTTGGCGTACTGTCGAAAATTAGACAATGTCCTGGACAATTCATTGGCTTCAAACCGTATGTTCCTTCTTCGTTCTCCACAAAATCCCGTTCAGAAGCGTGTCGAACTGTATACATTTCATTTCGGTAATTCTGCCAATGTCCCGACATTTCCCATAAGTCTTTCTTGTAAATAACTGGTGTCATTACTTCTTCAAATCCGAATTCTCTGTATTTAAGTCGAATATAGTTTTGTAACTTTTGAAATATACGAGTTCCATGGGGAAGCATAAACACGGAACCTGGACTCCAGGGATGAATGAGATAAAGTTGTTGAGATTTTGCTATTAATCGGTGATCACGTTTTTGGGCTTCTTCGCGACTTTTCTTCCAAATACCAAGGTCTTTGTCACCAGGGAATGATATCCCGTAAACCCGGTTGATGGACTGCGGAGAAGTGTTGTCATACGCTAGATCAGGTGTCCAATATGCGGTCGTGCAATTTAATAATTCGATGGCACCAAGAAATCCAGTATGCGGAATATGTGGTCCACGACAAAGATCAATAAACGAACCGCATCGATAAAGCGAAATCGGTTCGTTCTCGGAGATTTGCGATATGTAATGCAGTTTAAATGGGTTGGTGGAAAAGAATTCAACTGCAACATCTTTAGTAACAAGCATTCTCTCGAAGGGATATTTTTTCGTGACACATTCCTTCATGATAGCTAGAATGTCAGGTAAATCGTTCTCCTGAAGAATTCTGATCTTCAAAGACCTGATAAGCCTCGAGATCATTTCACGTAAAGAACCATTGTTACATAATTCTTTTTGACTATATCCATCTTCGGCCAAAAGAAACTCGTAAAAGAAGCCTCCCTGTGTCAGTGCTGGTCCATCACATAACAAGACATCGTCACCATATTTCGTTTCGAGTGCCAATCCAAGCACGTGCGCTGTTGAATGCCAGAAGATGTCCATGGTCGTGGAATCACGGTTCGTTGAAATCGGCAAGAAGTCCAAGGTACAAGAGTCATAAAGAGGCCTATTCATGTCGTATAGATCCCGAGAATTGACTAGAGCTACAATCGAATTGTCTGCTAGCTCGTGAGAGACACCTTGAAGCATTAGAAAAGGAGAAAGAGTGATATTAATGCTATTGTCATGTATCTGATACGTGAAAATGTGATTAAGTACTTTTGGCGAATTCATATGGGGTAATACCCACGGCACTTTGTCTGACCGAGCCGTCAATAAGAACATCGATCGTTTTGGACTCGTTCGAGTTGAAAAGTCTTTCATTCTGCCTCTTCTTTTCTGACTCCCAGGCTAACAGTCGACGAGTGATGTTGACTGAAGAAACCTTGCGTCGCTTGACTTCGGCAAAACCGTGATCTTTCCTGTGAGAAAAGAAGCGGTTTCGTATGGGACTCCTAAAATGCCGACTCAGCATTTTAAACGAGACGCGAATCCACAACTCGTTACTACGTCATAGAAATTCAAAAAAATTTTTTTTTTTTACAATAAACAATAGACTTTTTATACTTGTGCACAGCTATTGTGCAAATGTGATGTAATGTGATGTACGCGAATGTCACATGCGGGTGGCTGTCAGATTATTTATATGACCGAGCTCTTTTATACTTATTACAACAGTCAACTGTTAACTCAAACGTTTTTCTCCTATTTCTCGTAAATTAACTTGGTCTTGCTCATCCCGTAGTCCACATGAGTTATGACACCCACAGCAGTGGAATCTGAAACATATGATGATGTTTTGTTGAAGCAAATACTGGAGTCTGATGACGATGACTTTCTTAAAAGTTTTCCTTTGGCTTCGAATGGGCAATCCGATGGACCACTTCCACCGGAGCTTGAAGCTGCCTTAGAAGATACCGAGCAGGCAGAACAGTATTTGACCATTTTGAAATCTAGAATGGATGCTTGGAAAGCTGCAGGGTTAACTGACGCAATGAAAAGAGCTCTTGAACTCTTGCACGACAATAATGGTAGCGCCTTGACAAACGAAAACGCCGAGGAGGAGGGCGAAACAACGGATGGAAGGTCAGAAACTCGTTAGGTTTCAAGGCTGTCAGGGATAGTAAAGAGGATTAATGTGAATTCATTTTGTCTATTTAATTCACATGTATATAAATTCTTTAATACAGTAATGATGAACCATCTACACCCACAATTGAAGTTCATAACATTCAACCTCAACCAAGAATAGCAGAAGGATCAATTTCGCGTCTTGGTGTGCATATTTCTTAAGTTTTAACAAACATCGTCATGATTTGAGTTGCTAATTGTGTTAATGTATATTTAGTTAATGGTGTCTCCTCATTGGTTGATATTGAGATTTGCTTTAATCAATGTCGAATACCGGAGCTGGATCTCCCAAGTACTCCAGAAAGCGCAATCAAATCTGTTCTCAACGAGTTATACAAACTCCAGGAGGATCTTCAAATTCATCTGCAGGGCGGGCCATTGGCAGAACCATTTTCTTTGGGAACACAAAGACGAAAGAAAGTTGATGATCTTCTAGAGCGAGTCATGAAAGAAGCGGCATTGTATGAGGAATTTGTTAACAGAGGTATTTTTGTTTTGTTAACGGGCAGTTTTTTCTTCTGTTAGGGTGTCTTGACACTAATAGGTGAACTTATGAATTTTAAACAATAGCATCTCATCTCAGTCTCGACAAAATTTTAAACGAATCCGAAACATCCAGCGAAGAGGAATTTCAGGATTCTGAAACTGTAGACACGGAATCTGGCGTTCATGCATTTGAGGTTCATATTTCCTAAAGTATGCTCGTCTTCGAGTGAAATGGGTCTTCAAACCTTATAATTGATCATTTTTAGGACTCTTTATCGGATGTATCTCGTAAATCTCTAACTACCGCTTCGACAACTCCACTTTCACCACGTTCGCTAAAAGCGGTAGACCCAAATCTTTCGCGGCTTCGATCTATGTCTTCTGCTTCAATTCAATCTGTACAATCTCAAACCTCATCACGGCACTCTCATTCGTCATCACCCTCAGTGTTGGGACTTGAAGACATAGGATCACTTTCTCCGCTAGAACCATGGGAGGCATTTAGATGGGCACCCTTAGCAAAAATTTCAGAACAACTTTACTCACCTGATGTTAGCCAAAACGCAGGATTGGTCACCGTACTTGCCGTAAGTGCCGACTTATTAGTTGGATTGTGTGAAATGGTTTACTTTATATGTTTTTTTAATAAAAAAAAAAAGAATAATAAACTTCTTTTCTCTTTTGTTCGTTAAAGGTAAGTGGCATAATTGCTGTTGGCACCACTCGTGGTCTAGTCATGGTATACGATTATCAACAAAATTTGAAGTGCACTCTCGGTAGCACTGTCAATGGTATTATGGTGAATTATTCTACCGAAAATATTTCGTGATTTTATATTTCTTATTGATTCCTTGACACTTCTGTGATAGCTGTTGAACATGGTGCAGTCACTGCGCTAGCAATTTCTTCGGATCATACTCAAATTGTCAGCGGTCATGCTCAAGGATATATTTATATATGGGACATCCAAAAGTCAACTATTCCTATGCGGTCTATAGTGCCCATTTCTTCGAATGTCGCTTTAGGTGGTAGAAAGGAAGGGCACATTCGTGGGTCGGCTATACTACACGTTGGGTTCGTCGGCGTTCGAAAAAATGGCATCGTTTCTGGTGATGATCATGTATGTCCTTCGTAACGTTGCATTTAGTTTCAAATAGTTTCCTTTTCATATTCATCTAACACCCCTCTGACATTAAAAGGGACTGGCGTTTTATCACAACTTGTATAAAGTCATGATGGTTAATGCTACGGAGACTACGCGTATTCTTGGTCGATATCCTTCTCCGGCACAAGAAACTGCTTCGAAACCAAAGAGACCCAGTACAATTTTTGGTTTAGCACCATTACCTTTGGGCCAGTTACCCCACGGCTCGGAGAGCTTTGGCTTGGTTGCCATGCTAACACCCTATAAGGTATTAGATCTAAATTCTGCATGCGCATGTATCTAATAAAATAACCAGTTGATTATAATTTTTTGTTATGTCACAAGATGATAATAGTGAGCACAAAACCTACGGCAATGCCGCCGTACAAATATTTAAAGCCAAAGAATGCTGCGTCCGATTCTATTACGCCGTCAAAATCCACCTCAGGGTGTTTAGCATGGTACCCAGCAGATAAATTGCAGCCCGATCCAGGTGAATTTATTTTTCGCCTCTCCTCTTGGAAATTTATATCTTATTTCAATTCTAAAAGCAAATTTCGGTTTTCATTTTATTACCATAGATTCTCCGATAATTCACACTGATCCGCTTCTCGCATTCTCGTGGGGAAACCATTTAATAATTATAAAAGTCAGCGTAGTATTACCCACGGTTCCCGAGGTTGCCATAAAGAAACGTCGACAAAAGCGTGAGATCCGTTTGGAATTTACTCAGATTGGCGAGTGGAAGTCCAGAAATAGTATAGTGGGACTTCAGTGGCTATCTTCTCAGGTGCTTACATTCGATGAGAATTTTTCAAGTAATTTGTACCAAGTTTCTACTTTTGACCGGATGATACACTTAATAACTTTATTTTATTTTCATTTTTTTTTTAGATACTGTTGATTTTGACGAATACAGAGGACATAATTGTATTTGATCCAAGATATATGCAAGAGAGTGAACAAAATAATATTCGACAGCGTTCTTTGGTTTACCACGATCGATTTTCTTCACTTTTAAAAGAAGGATCGGAGGATTCAAATGTGCAGAATGACACCGTTCGATCTTTATCATCAAATGCTGATCTGGCATACTACCATAGTTTTCGCGTGTATAAGGGCAATGTCTTTTTATTGGTATTCATCATTATACACTGCCATAAACCAAACATCAATTTAAATTTAATGATTATTGATTTTATTTTATCTTGCCTTTTTTTTTTTTATTCTATTTTTTTTTCTTTTTCTTTTTTCTTTTGCATTTTATCTTGCAATAATAATTAGGGAGTGCGTCAACTCTTTATCGGCACCCTTCTGCTATGGGAAGATAGGATAATTGCACTGACCGATTCTGGAGATTTTCTTGAAGGTATCGCCCTTGCCACATCATTTTATAATGGTACATCATCTCAGACAATCCTTGGTTTACCCGATGAGGAGGAAACTCGCCACGCAATTGTTGGCGAGAGGCTCATGGGACTTTTAACCAGCTCCATAAATTATGCGTTTTCTAGTGAGCGAACATTTCAGGGCATGCTAGATGAACATAATGGCAGTGGTGCGGTCTTGTTTCATGATCTGGCTGGCGCGTGTATAGAAGCATGCCTTAGCATGCACCGGGAAGATTTTCTTTTTGCCGAGGTGTATGAGAAATATGCAGAAGCCTCGGCTAAAGGAATTCTTCTTGAGGTTTTAGAACCATATATCCTTAATGATAAAATAAAGGATCTACCTCCGGAAGTGATGAAGGATCTTGTTAATCATTATCGTGACCGTCACATGCTTAAACGCGTGGAGCAATGCATATGGCATATAAATCCGCAATGCCTGGACATCGATCAAGTTGTTCAATTGTGTAAAAGTGAAGGGCTATATGATGCTCTTATTTACGTTTGGAATCGTTCTATGGTAGATTATGTTAGTCCTGCGGTGGAACTACTTGCCATCATTAGGCGGATATTGATATCGGAAAAGCGAAGAAAGAAGAAGCACCGATTCTCTATACCGAATGGCTCCAATAGTTCTTCATTCGACCCTTATGTACTTGAAGGGGAAGAATTAGAAAAGAAGAAAGCGGATGCCCGCAAATTCTACACATATTTGAGTAATATCCTCACTGGTCACACTTATCCAAACGAAGCACCATTAAGCGAAGTCGAGGCCAATGAGGCGAGAACCACACTTTATTCCTTTGTATTTTCGGGTCGGTGCGTTGTATGGCCGAGAAATGGGGGTGAACTGATACTGACGGCGGAAGACGAACAAAATGGTTCAGAGCCAACATATCCTTACCTTAGGCTGTTCCTGAAATTTGATACCAAGGCCTTTCTACAGGCCTTAGAAACTGCCTTTGAGGACTCTTATCTTAATGGCGTTGAAATAATATCAAATGGTGAAGATTATTATGGAGAGGAGGAGACTCATGGGAAAATAATTAACCGACAGTTGTTGGTCAACATACTGCTTGAAGTGATGACCTCCGGGTCACCGGAATCCTCGGAATTCACGCAATCCGATATATCCTACTTGTACTGTTTTGTTGCCCAGAGTCTACCAAAGTATACGCAATTCCTCCTGCTCCCGTCATCCGTCATACATAGGATTCTCGTAAAACTTAGCACCGACAATGATCCTCGTACACGAGAAGAACGACAGCTTTCAGTAGAATGCTTATTATCCATATATACACCACAAGACGAAAGCAAAATGGTACAATTATATGAATCCGCTGGATTCTGGAGAGTATTGGAGCACGTCTACACCGCCGAAAGGAAATATGGATCGTTGGTGACGACATACCTGATGGATCCGAGGAGGAGAAATGATGTTTTTGACTGCATAATAAGTTTGCTGAACCCCCATAGCAAGCTCACCGAAAAGCAGCGAATGGAAGTTTCGGAGACGGTGATGACTCAAATTGAAAAATTCGTTGACATTGATGGAGAACAAACCGCCTCCATGATAAAAACTTTTTTTGACAATGACCATCGAACTGTCATCGATAATTTATCATTATCGCCAGCACGATTATTCACATACTTGAGAGGTCTCTTGGAACCATCCCAAGATGATGTTAAAGGCGGAGAGCTCGTGCGCGTGCAAACTGTCGAAGAACAGATAATTATGTTCGAATCAAGATATGAATCATTTCTAGTGGACCCGGAAATTCATGAACGATATATTGAACTTATGGGTAAATTTGATCCCACCGGTGTATATCATTATCTGCAAACTCATAGGGATTCATATCGACTCGAACGCGTCTTGCCCATTTGTGAATCCGCTGGCATAGTGGATGCGGTAGTGTGGATTTTGGAAAAGAGTGGCAATCCTTCGGCTGCCCTTGATAAAGTATTAGGAATTGTCGAAGAAAAAAGACGGGAAATTCTCATGTTGGTTGAGGAAAAAAAGAATTCCAAAAACGATCGATGGACATTAATTGAAAAAACCAAAATTGAGACATCCTTAATGAAGTTGAAGGGTGTGCTCAAGATTGGAATCCATTTGTGTGAAAACAGTTGCCAACGAGCAATAATGTCTAACAGTTCTTCCGTAGTTGCTGCAACCAGCCGCATCACTGAAAGCGAAACGGAATCACTATGGTACAGTCTTTTGGACACATTTTTGGACGCCACCAAGGACATATCCTCCAAAGTTGTACCGCCAATCCCCCCGATGATGTCTGAAAAACTTTTGATGAATGGACAACTATCCTCATTCGAAATGCCGAGATCAGCGATACCACCACACGTTGCCAATCACCTAATTACAACCTTCAAATCATACGTTCAGTCTATAATGAGGTCTTTATTGTTATCCACTTCTTCTCCTTACGTTTCTGTGCCAAGACTTTTGCTTCGGTTCATGCAGTCATCAACCAAAAGGAACAGTACCGTCGCGGACTTGCGGGAAATTTTTGTAGGCATGATTGATACATATAAATATGAAGGTCAGTTGCTAGCTATGACCAACCGACTATTTGAAAAGGACTTGTTCATGGGTGTAGCAGGTGTTGTACGACAGCGTGGTAAAGGCTGGCGTCCTCGCAGGGGGACGTGTGAAGTGTGTGGGGGTCAGTTCTGGGGTACGGATCTGACCCTCCGCACGGCACCTGGTAGAGGTTCATCCGAAAAGAAAACGCCCCATTCATCAACTATACCTGCCAATATTGCAGATGCCATACCGAACCTTGAACTACTAGACCATTCTGATCACTCCTCGCTTAACCAACCTGACGAAGCATCAACCTCGCAAGAACCACTCCCTCCACTACCAACCACTCCCCAATCACGACCACCGTCGGTCCATGAAAATGATCTACTTCTATTTCGTTGTGGCCACGGATATCATCGTAGGTGTCTCGAAACCGAAACAAATGTCAACACCGAGGACGAGACCGATCCAAGGTGCTCGGTGTGCCAGACCGAAAGACGAGGGGAAAATGTGGCCCCGTTGGAGAGTAGGCGTGGTTCGGTGGATCAATCATTAGGAAGAGACAAGGGTAAAGACAGACTCGTGAGTATAAGAATGTGATTTTTTTTTTTTTTTGCATGCCACAATGTCTTTATTATTATTGCTTATTGTTATTATATTTGATTTATTTATTAATTATATTAAGATTTAGGATTAATAATTCATTAAAAACCCATAGGATTTCTTTATATTGTATGAACTCTAGATTTTTTTTTTTTATTTTTTCTTTTTACATAACTTATTTGAGCGCTGTGCAACGTTTCTACTAATTTCATCAGCTAACAAGAATATTTGGAAAATTTTATTTCGGTAAATTCGAGGTGCTTTACACACCAGGTTTTTTCATTAATTTTTGTCTGCTTTTCGATAGTATAACTCTACAATTACTATTTTTTTTTTTTTAATCGCGGTTGTGCCATTTCATATTTACTATCTTTTACTTCTGTAATTTTAGATGGGGTTTTCCAAGTGATATGCACAAATTTGTACATTCTGTGTATCCTATCTTTTTATTATCTTTGGTGTTTTCCGGCCGATTTGCAAGGGAATATACGTATCTTAAAATATTAGATGTATCATATAGCTTTTTTAAAATGAACAATAAGTAAACTGTTACTGAAACTTTTGTAAAATAAAACTTACAAAATTCGGGAAAAATAAAAAAAGTGTACAATATTATTTGCTTCTTTATTACTATTATTATTAGCATACTATGATCAAACTTATATCTAATTGGTGTAATTGTTTTTAAAAGGATAATTATCAAGAAGAAATTCAAAAAGTTATTTGTTTTTAAAAAAAAAATTAAGAGATTCATCTAGAATAATTCAGTGTTTTACAAGAAATATGATTTGCTCAGAATCTCAGTTTATTAATAAATCAAGAAAAGAGAACAATTTTTTTTAGTTTTCAATTTTTCAAAAATTAAGTGAAATTATTTTTACAAACCTATTCTATTTTTAAATACTAAATTATATTATACGCTATATTTGATAAAATGATTTTTATTAATTGAATATTAATAAAAAAAATAATTATAAACAAATAAAAATAATATTAAAAGAAATTTAATAGTTAAATTATTGTTAAAAATTAATTAATTTTATCGATAAAATCATTTACAAATCTTTTTTGAATATTATTGCTCAATATATAAAATATTAGTAATATTTTAATAAAAAATTGATAAAATTAAATTCAATAATAAATCAGTAAAAATTTTTTTTTTTTATTTTTTTTTTTTAATATTCATAGTCAGATTAGCATTATGTGTTTATTAATCTTTAAGAAAATTAATAGCAATATATTGGACAATTATATCATGGCTAAACTAAATCTTATGTAGTCTTACTCATCAATAGCTTTCAATTCTTAAATAAACTTAAGTCTCTAAATACAATTTTGAAAACAATATTTTGCTCCAAAATAAGTTTTGGGTAAAAACCCTTCTAACTTATTTTGCTCCAAAATAAGTTTTGGGTGAAAACTCTTCTAACTTATTCATTATTGCCAGTAGGTTATTGCTATCTATTATTTTTTCAAGGAACCAATTTCAAGAAACTATAATAGAGGAAAGAAAAAATAAAAATAAGAGAAATATCTAAAAATACATAAATATATATATATAAAGAAAAAAAGAAAAAGGAAAAATAAAAGTAATTCATATTCTCTAAAAGACCTTTACTAGAAATCTCCTCTCATTAAGAACTAATTCTTCTGAAATATTTTTTTTCTTCTTGACCAGTTAAAGAACTTACCTATTTGTGATCTTGATTATTTTCTTGCAATTGTTTAAGATACTTATTACCTACTTGGATTTAATATCTTGCTTATCTCTTTCTTTTTTTTGATATTGATTTTATATATTCATATTAAATTATAACTTATAATGAATCTTAGATTTTTATATAACCTTTTAGTCATATTATATAACTACTGATATTTTTCAATAATTATATCATCAGGAAAATTTTCAGAAAAATCTCCGGAAATCTTGAATAGCTTTGAAAATTTTTATAACGGAAAAATTTTTATAATAAAAAACTTTGAAGTTTTTTCATAATAAAAATTTTTAAAAATATTCGAAAATTTATAATTAATTAAAATAAATATTTATTTAATAAATATTCATTACTTTTATCAAATCTTGGAATTATATGAACTATATTATCTATT